AATTTGAGGAAGCACTTCTTTACACAGCGTGTAGTTAGAGTATGGAATAGTCTTCCTGCTAGTGTAGTAGAAGCTAAAACCATGGATTCCTTTAAATCAGAGCTAGATAAGATTTTAACAACTCTGAGCTATTAGTTAAGTTCTCCCCAAACGAGTTTGATGGGCCGAATGGCCTCCTCTCGTTTGTAAATTTCTTATGTTCTTATGTAACTGAGCATTGCTCAAATAAAGGAAGCTGAGAGTAACTTTTAAAGCTCTGTTTTAAATTGTGTTTTGAAGGTGGTATACCTAGGGCCAGATTAATAGGGTGGAGGCCCCTGGGTTAGAGGCATTTATGGGGCCCTATCTACACAAAATAGTTTGGAGTATACAAAATATTGAGTGCTATGCAAATGAACTTCATTGTTTCAACCAGAGAAAAGTAAATGACTTCTATCTTACTACTAGCTTTGTAATGAATGGCTAAAAAATATAGGCCTATTATTTGAAATTATGAGGAAACCCATCTGAAGCTAAGCAGGTTTGGGACCTGGCCAATACTTGGATGGGAGACCAACAATGAAAGCGGGCTGCTGCTGGAAGAGGTGTTGGTCTGGCCAACAGGGAAGCCTGTCCTGTGGTCAGAGTGGACCCCAGTGCAGTGATGGCGACTCTGTGCTGTAAAAATGGTGTCGTCTTTCAGATAAGATGTAATGCTGAGGTCCTAAAAGATTCCTGGGCGTTCTTTGAAAGAGTATGAATGGTGTTCTGATGCCCTTAAATTCCCACTGTGGCCCTTTCAGAATGTAAAATAATTGTTTAGAAGTTAAAATAAATTATAATTGGTTGTACTGTTTAAAATGAAGCAGGTGTGTCCAGACTTTTGACTGGTATGGTATATGAGTGGAAAGTGTTTTTATGTTTTATAAAATGCTTTAGGTATTTTTTTATGAACAAAAAGTAAAAAAAAAGAAAAGAAAAAAACAATTGCCCACACTTTTAACCACAGTCAACAGTTCAGCAATGGAGACTTATGCTTTACTTAGTATTTTTTAAATTAAAGTATCAAGCACTTTCATTCTCACATAAAGTAAAAGTTTTGCTGCTACTGTTCATCAAATGCAAGGGCATTCAACATTACTAATACAAAAAGGAGTGCAACATAATGTTCATTTACATTATCTGAGAATGTTTAGGCACTGAAACATAAACATGAAGGCAGCCATTTTACAACAAAAGGCAGCCATTTTACAAGTAAGCTAATTAGTAATGCAAACTTGGCTAGCAAGTCACATACAGTACTTGTAGGTTTTTTTTTTTCCTTTTCGGAAAAACTCTAAGTGTAATCTTTTTTTCTGGTTGGTAAGCACAGCTGACACAAAAAAAGTTTTTACCATCCTCTACTTTTTTGCATTTCAAATGGTGACAATATTGTCAAGAGCCAAAAAGTGCTATAATTGCAAAGCCCACTACATGGACAGCCAGAAAAGAAAATAATTAGAGCAATACAAGCTTAAAAATGTATAGATGATTTTAAGGGGATGAAATGAACTTAAAAGTGTTTGGCTTCAATTTGATAAAGTGTTTGCATTATTAAATACATAACATAAGCTGAATACAGAAAAAGCATTTTTGTATTCTGAATACATAACACCAATACGTGTATTCTGCTACAATCAAAGCTGTTGAGCATCTAGCCCATTCATTTATTTGTACCTTCTTACCAGTAATATTAAACTGGGCTCTGTTTTCTATTGCAAAATAGATCAAAGGTGTGGCTACAGGTGAGCAGGGGGTGGATTGTCTGTCCACCCAACGGACTGTCACAACTATTACTGTTTATTTGCCTTTTTAGTGCAAATAAATGTAGCTAACTAATGATGACAGGGATTTTTCAAATATCGTACCTGACTGACTGACTGACTGTTTGTGAATGTCTGTCTATTCATCTACCTATCTTGAACCCTTTGCAGAGTGGCCAGAATTTGTTAAAAGCTATGCTCCATGGTGGGCTTCCCATACCCTGGATTGGCTGAGATATGGGAAGAAGGTTCACGTGGTCCACTTTGAAGAGTTGAAGAAGGACTTGTTCGTCCAGCTGAAAAGTATGGTGGTCTCCCTGGGCATGCAAGTGTCTGAGGATCGGCTGCTATGTGTGGAGGGCCAGAAGGATGGCAATTTCAAACGATCTGGCCTGCGTAAGCTGGAGTATGACCCATATACCCCCAAAATGAGGGCTACCATCAATGACTTCATCAAGACTGTGGACCATGCCTTGAGACAGAGAAAGTTGTCAGGGGTCCCAGAGGAATATCGTCCAAGATGACAGCATCTTCTTTCCTCACCTCCTCCTCTCTCCTGCCCTTACCTCCTTATATTTAGCTAGCAGACTGAATATATGCTATGTAAACATGTACTGTATATAGAGGTGCTTTTAGAATACTTCAGTTTGCAATACTATTGCACATGCAGTTAACACACCAATGCAAGGGGTACATGATAGATAAACTTATTTTCAGTGTCTATTGTACAGACTTTCCTCACTTAATGACCTACCTGTTTAACAACTACCCAGACTTACGACCAGCTCTCCGACCAGTTGGTAAGCTGTACGAGAACTTTGGTCATGGAAACGGCAGTGCGGCGTCTCGGCATCAAGCAATTATATTAAAATTAAAACAGTTATCAAGTTGGAATTTCCTTTAAACCTGCTCTTTATTCAGAATGAATAAAACTTATTACCTGTATTTACAGTATGCAAACCTAAGTAGTGTGTAGAATTAATTTCCTCTATTCTGTTTATTACAGTATACATTATGCTACTGTATAAACATTTATAAATATACTAAAAAGTGTTATAAATGGTGCAAAAGTGACATTAAAGCAATATCTATAGATGGTTGACACAAACCCCCTACCAGTGCAGAATGCTTGAAATATCGGCAAGGGGCAGCTCTTCTCTTATCAACCAATTCGCATAATGACCTGCGCATAGGAACTCGGCTGTTAAGTGAGGAATGTCTGTATTTGTAGGAGACCGCTATGATAATTACAAATTGGTATTATGTTCATGCCTTAAATATTTTAAGCTGAAACTTAAAAAAGCTTAAACATAAAAAAAATAAAACATCACTGTGAGTATCAAGACCTCATTGTAAGCTGTGTGTGCCAGATCTGGTATACCCCAAACTGGGAGATGCAAATGTTTCTTCATGTTAAAATGACCTCCCCAGCCCCGAGTTGTAACAGACTGTTGCTCAAATCTTGCTACTAAAGTGTGGTAAAAGTACCCACGTGAGAGGAAGTGGGGGGTGGGACATTTTTTGGGTTTGGGTTGCAGTTATTATTAATCATGTACATTTAGGAAAGAGGGACAGCAAAGGGGGAAGTCTCTGAGATCTGGCTGTCTTTTAGGGCTTTACGATTCTGAGTAAAAAATGAATTACTTCTTGTTATTTGGCATAATATAGTCCTCTCATTTGTTGATACAGCTAAGGAAGAACAAGGGAGGGCTTGGTTTGATGTAACGGTGCAAATCTCCCTGTTGATGCAAACACAACAGAATAAGTGTCATGCAAGAATGAGATCGGGGTATCACAATTCACAAAATCACAATTTAAAAATGATTAATTGTGCAGCCCTATTCTAATGTGATTCGTCCCCAACTCCAAAAGCTTCACATTTAAGTCAACAAATGTTCTTTTATAAATCCAGAGCAATTATTTGTTTAATTTATAATTTGATCATAGTCATGGACCCACATGGGTACAGCAGAATACTGTAGTTTGTAGAATGCATGTGAAATCAGTTTTTCGCTAGGTAATATTTAGAACATAAATTTTCAATTGCATGTTTCATGATTGAGCTATCTTTCCTGATATCCAGATTTTTTTAGTAGAGTCATTGTGATGTAACATTGTGACAATGTTAGAGTTTCTTAGGGGGAATAGCACAATTCCAAAATAAGTCAGATAGAACAGTCAGTGTGGAAGCAATTTATTTTAATTTTTATTGATTTTTTTGCCCCATATTTTCTAATTGTTAGCTACATTTTTTACACATTGGTTAACTTCTCCACGAATAATCTTTTTAGTCATCAAGTTGAGTGCAAAAGATGGTGTGACCCAAACTGGGATGAGTGCATCTTAATAATAGTAAATAAAGACAGATTTTTTGTCACTCTGGATCATGAAATACTGACCTATGGTGTTGCAGTCAAAGCCAGTACATTGTTTTGTGTATTAACAACTGATGTCTTTAACTCATTAATTATGCAGAGTAATGCAGTGCTGTTAAAAGCATTCAAAGTACTTTGACAAGATACTTGCTATTTTAATTTAAATATTTGTTGTATAGTGCATTCATAGCTTTAAGATGTTTTTCATTGAAATGTGTGATTCTTTACCTTAATTTATACTATAAATGATGATAACAATGTTTTTTTGTTTTTAAACTTGAAGAGAGCAGGGGGGTGTTTTTCGTACGTGGATTACTCGTTTAGCCGAATGTAATTGTTGACGACTCGGCATGATCCTGGATCGGTCGGTTTTTCAAAACTCTTGTTGGATGTGTCGTCAATAGCAGCACATCCAAATCCTCAAACCTGCTCGGAGCAGGTTTGTTCTGTGTAAACAATGATTAGCTCACACACGTAACCAGTGTCCGTGCATGGAAATCCGTTCAGTCATGGCCTCGCCATTCATGGATGAGCGACTAATTGCAATCGGTGCACGAATAACAAGAAAGGAATTTCAGATTGAGAGGGTTTTGTGTGATCGGCAAGATCCTTTATTTTAGCCGGATGATATTATTTTCGAAAGATACCGCTTCAGCCGAGATGGAATAATATATCTTAAAGATTTATTAGGTCCGTATAGTAGAAGCCCAACTACGCGAAGTCAGGATCTCACAGCCACACAGACAATGTGCATTTCCTTGAGATATTTTTTTGTATGCTGTAGGCGATGCGAAAATATATTGGAGAGTAAAGTTTGCCAGGCAATTCGCAAAGTCTGTTGGGCCTGATATATTTCCTTGGGGTTTTTATTGTTTTTCCCGGACACCTGCTAGTGCAGGCAATTAAAGAGGCATTTTATGCTATTGCAGGTAATGTATACGCAATAAAAATTACAGTTCTATAATGAATTTAAAAATCTCACTAATATTCACATTACCCAGAATTTCCAAAGGTTTTGTCTGCCTTCTATATATATGAATGAAATGTCGTGTTTACCAGTTTGAAGTATATTTTTGTACTTCACTGTCCTTTAGTACATATTAAATCTTTGAATTCATCACATTCCTCTAATAAAATGTCCTGCTCCGATTGCGTGAAAAATTGCGCCCTGTTTTTTGACATGGAAGCCGATGAGAGACTTGCTGATCAAGTTTTCTAGACTTGATACAGTACATATGGGCTTTTCAAGCAGCGTGGGCGCTCGCAATCATCTCGGATGAATGGATCCAGCCAAACTAATCCATTACACAGCTGTGTTTGAAAAACCAATTTATCCCGGATGAGTTTCACCAGCAATTAACTCATCCAAGATGAGGCATCTGATCTCGGATAATTTAAACGACGTATGGAAAATACCCCCCAGGTTATATTTTAGATTGCACTGTGTTTACACTTCTACTCAAAGATTATACAGTCGAACCCGGTTATGTCGCCGGCCTAGGGGGTTGCCAAAAAGCGTCGAGATAACCGATGATCGAGATAACCGAAAACCAATATGGCGGCAATATACTGTATTAACATATGCTTGAAATTTATTTGTGTGCGTTAACAAATGAGAATGTGCATGCACGGGTTTTTGGTGGTTTTGTTTTACACAACAGCATTGCCGCGATTTGTTTGATGACGCGATCGGCATGCTATAAAAATGTACATACATGTTGGCTAATGTGCACCAACTAATGTGCACCAACTAAAAGAAGATTTACCAGTATACAATAAAAACCACCATTGATTCTCGATACAAACCTTTAATTAAATTACCCAACAATGCAAACACAAAGATCGCTCACAAAATCACAAAAAAAACCTGCGGTGTGTAATTCGTTGTTACAAAAAGCAAACCAGTGTCAAAATTTAATTCACAAGTCATTTCGCTCTGACAGCTCTGAAAAGTATCGTACACGCAGTTAATATGGTTTCTTTACAAAGTCTAAAATGCTTTGTTGCTTTATTCCTTTGACAGTCTGCTTGAAAACAAATGCGTGTTATCCCTCAGACAAGATCAACGAGAATGAGTGAACTGTCATTGGAGTGAACGATCAATTTATTGGTTAGTCCAAAGCAAGCATAAACGTAAGCATGAGCCATTCACACCTGGGGGGTATTCCAGAAAGCAGGTTATGTGACATACCCGGGTAAGTTTAAGGGTAAGTTAGTGGATACCCACATAGCAGACAGGTCTGGCCCAGATCTGGCGTCAAACCGGCACTGCTGGCTGAGTTCTGGCATGGCAAGTGGTATGTCAACCAGATATGGGCCAAGTCTGGCAATGATGGCACTGTTTACATTATGGCATGCCAGATGTGGCCCGATTGTGGTTTGGTCTATGTGGCCCAGGCACATAGAAGACAAGTCTGGCCCAGATCTGGCGTCAAGCCGGCGCTGCACACTGAGTTCTGGTATAGCAAGTGGTATGTCAACCAGATTTTTCTTTAATCACGTTTGCATTTATATAGATTTGAAAATGGCAATATCTAAAAGAAAGCATTTAAAACATGTTTATTATACATGATTTAAGGAGAGTGTATCAAACTGGTAGCCCTTCGTATGGCTCAGTACCCGTGAAGTAGCTCCCAGTTTCAAAAAGGTTGGTGACCCCTGGTCTATGGCCTATATGAGAGTACCAGGTTCACATTTCACTATGTTGTATATGTAAATCTGCAAGATGTCACCTGGGTCTGCAAGATGTCATTCTGGGTCCC